AGTTGGGTTGGGTCGTATATGGACCTCACCGCCAAGAAAGCGTTGCCGTCCCTCAAGTTCTTCATGTTCGCAAGTCAGACGCATTGAAGCAATTAAATAAGCTAGTGGGGGATTATTTTGCTACAGAAAATTTTGGTGTCAACAGTCAAGTCGTCTTGGAGTCGGACGAAAACCAACGCGCCAGAAAAATATTGGCGGAAACAACAAGGGACCTCGGTCAGAGGTATGAAGTTGGCCTGTTATGGCGGGAGGACTCGGTCATTATGCCGCCAAGCTATGCAATGGCCAAGCACCGCCTACTTAACATCGAGTCGCGAATGCAGAGAGATGCAGTTTTCGTGGAAAACTACAAGAGGGAAGTCGCGAAGTACCTCGACAAAGGATATGCGAAGCATATGACGCCTGATTAAGCCGCCGTGGAAGGACCAAGAACTTGGTACCTCCCTCACTTTGGTGTTGTGAATCCACACAAGGCGCAAAAACTCCGCATCGTTTTTGACGCAGCCGCCGCTACAAATGGTATTTCGCTTAATTCTGTGTTGCTGAAGGGTTCGGAGCAAGCTCAGCCACTGATAGCTATCATCCACAAGTTTCGTCAGGGTGTCGTCGCTGTGGCCGGTGACATCCAGGAGATGTTCTCGCGAGTACAAATTCTGGAGGCCGATCAAGAGTCACAACGATTTCTGTGGCGAGATGGCAACACGTCCGAGCCTATACGTATTTATAAAATGTCGTCAATGATTTTTGGAGCTATTTGTTCGCCGTGCTGTGCGGAGCACGTTAAAAATACCAACGCCATCAAGTTCATGTCTACGATGCCAAGGGGTGCACGAGCTGTTATTGAAAATACATATGTCGACGATATGGTCATGAGTTTTAATAGTGCCGAAGAAGCTATTGAGGTCATCAACGAAGCTGTCAAAATCAACGCCGCTGCATCCTTCAAGCACCGCGATTTTATATTCAACGACAAACTAGTTCAACAGAAGCTGAATGGTGAAGGTTCATCTGCCAACAAGCAAATCATAAGAATGGAGCGTCAAGCAACAATGGAAAAAGTTCTGGGTATGTTTTCGAACACTGCTAACGATGGTCTTGAATTTTAGTTTAAATTCCACAAAATTACTCACGATGTTATTGATGGTACACGACCTCCAACCAAGCGCGAATTGTTGGGCATAGCCATGTCCATGTACGATCCGTTTGGTCTCTTGGCAAACGTTACGATATGCATAAAATTACTGGTGCAAGCAATGTGGAAGCAACGGGTCCAGTGGGATGAAGCGATGCCATATGAATTAGCGCAGCAGTGGTCAAAGTGGTGGAGCAACATCCAGTCAGTTAAGCATCTTTCGGTGCCAAGATGTTACTCTTTAATGTTACCGGTAGCAGAGGAGATACAGCTGCATATTTTTGTCGATGCCAGCTCTCTGGCCTATGCCGCTGTGGCGTATCTTCGAATAAAGAAAGGAGACAAGATCGACGTCGCTATGGTGTGCGCAAAGTCAAGGTGTGCGCCACTTAAGGGTATGACTATACCACGTCTGGAGCTACAAGCTGCAGTTCTGGGTTGCCGTCTGAAGGAGTCACTAGAACGATGCCATGATTTTCGTGTGAGCAGCACTACATTTTGGAGCGATTCCAAAACCGTCATACTTTGGATTCGTTCAACACATCGAGACTACAAGCAGTTCGTCGCATATCGTGTGGCCGAAATACTAAGCACTACATCGTCAGATCAATGGCGCTGGATTCCCACGACATTAAACGTCGCAGACGAAGCAACGCTAAGTCTGAAGTTCGCAGAAGTGGAGAACTAAACTCCGCAGAGCTCGCCAAAACCGAAATGAAAATACTTCGTCAAGTTCAATTTGAGTCGTTTTCGGATGAAATCCATGCCATCAAGCAGAAGAAGTGCCTACCGAAGTCGAGTTTTTTGTACCAACTAACGCCGTTTATAGATGACGATGGTTTGCTGAAAGTGAACGGGAGAATTGACGCCGCCNTATAAAATCACTGGTGCAAGCAATGTGGAAGCAACGGGTCCAGTGGGATGAAGCGATGCCATATGAATTAGCGCAGCAGTGGTCAAAGTGGTGGAGCAACATCCAGTCAGTTAAGCATCTTTCGGTGCCAAGATGTTACTCTTTAATGTTACCGGTAGCAGAGGAGATACAGCTGCATATTTTTGTCGATGCCAGCTCTCTGGCCTATGCCGCTGTGGCGTATCTTCGAATAAAGAAAGGAGACAAGATCGACGTCGCTATGGTGTGCGCAAAGTCAAGGTGTGCGCCACTTAAGGGTACGACTATACCACGTCTGGAGCTACAAGCTGCAGTTCTGGGTTGCCGTCTGAAGGAGTCATTAGAACGATGCCATGATTTTCGTGTGAGCAGCACTACATTTTGGAGCGATTCCAAAACCGTCATACTTTGGATTCGTTCAACACGTCGAGACTACAAGCAGTTCGTCGCATATCGTGTGGCCGAAATACTAAGCACTACATCGTCAGATCAATGGCGCTGGATTCCCACGACATTAAACGTCGCAGACGAAGCAACGCTAAGTCTGAAGTTCGCAGAAGTGGAGAACTAAACTCCGCAGAGCTCGCCAAAACCGAAATGAAAATACTTCGTCAAGTTCAATTTGAGTCGTTTTCGGATGAAATCCATGCCATCAAGCAGAAGAAGTGCCTACCGAAGTCGAGTTTTTTGTACCAACTAACGCCGTTTATAGATGACGATGGTTTGCTGAAAGTGAACGGGAGAATTGACGCCGCCTACTGCCTGCCAATCGCAGCTAGACGCCCGGTTATTCTGCCTCAAACACATTATGTCACACGGCTGATTGTGAAGCAATACCATTGCCGGCTTCATCACCAGAACGAGAGCCTAACCATAAACGAGATGAGACAAAAATGTTGGGTGCCTCGAGCGCGTGCCTTGCTCAAGTCGGTGAAGAGAAATTGTAATGTATGTATCTACAACAGCGCCAAGCCAGCTATACCACTCATGGGTCAACTGCCGACCGTTTTATGTCACAATTGGCCGAAGAAAAGAGAAGCGATGGGTGAGTTTGTTTACGTGCCTCACGAACAAGAGCCGCACATTTGGAAATTGCAGAAGACCTTTCTACAGACGCATTTATTTTGTGCCTCCGTAATTTCGTCAACCGCCGAGGAGTACCAATAAGAATTCGAAGCGACAATGGGACGAATTTCGTTGGCGCCCAGAAGGAGCTTAAGGCAGAAGAGCGTATGTTCGATTTTGGTCGCATAGAGGGTGAGATGGCACGTCGCAACATCGAGTGGGTATTCAATTGCCCGGCAACCCGTCCGCAGGGGGTTGCTGGGAGCGCCTCGTGCAGTGCGTCAAACGGCTATTGCAGCGGGTATTGCAACAAGAATCACCACGGTTAGAAACCTTTCGTAGCGTCTTGATAGAGGCGGAAAATATAATTACTAGCCGCCCCCTGACCGAGTTAGCCGTATCGCCGCAAGATGAGGAGCCACTGACGCCTAACCATTTTTTGTTGGGATGCCTTAATTCAACCCAAACGCCTAGTCCAGTTGACGAAAAGGTATGCCTCCGCAAGCAATGGCGCATAGCACAGAACTTGAAAGATCGTCTGTGGAAGAGATGGACAGTCGAATACTTACCGCAACTTCTTCTACGTTCCAAATGGAGAACTGAAGCAACGCCACTACAACCAGGTCAATTGGTTATCATATGCGACTCTGCGCGACCCAGAAGCCAGTGGGAGCGAGGTNGGCGACTCTGCGCGACCCAGAACCCAGTGGGAGCGAGGTATGATCACGGAGGTGTTTGTCGCCAAAGATGGTCAAGTGAGAAGTGCGGAAGTGCGCACAAGTTCCGGGTTAATTTGTCGATCAGCAACTAAGCTAGCCGCTTTACGAGTTAGTGAATCCCCCACAGGATTCACCGGGGAGTGGGATGTCGTTGTACAACACTAGTACATCAGTGCAACCGTGTAATGTTTAATTGTTTTAACGAAGAATGGGAAAAGGCGGAATATGCAAAAGGCCTTTGCATGAGCAAAGAAATACTTTCATTTTGTCAGCAAGCAGCGAGTGCATAAGCGAACTAATTGGAAACAACACCAACAACAATCGCCGTCAGGCGCACCATCACCAATAACTTTATCAAATTCGTTTTAATAATTATATTATTCCGTGTTCGTCGTAAAACTCGTCCTCAAATAAGTCAATAAAGTTTTAAATCTTATTTTATATTTAACATAAATTGGTGCCGTCCTTTATTTTGCTGACAGTAGGCTTTTTAAAAGTTTTAAAGCAACCAGGCGCCAATCTGTCTTGGTAAAATATCAGTACTGCCTTAAGAGGTTTAATTCTTTAGAAAAGATTCTTTATAATAGGTTTACTAGGAAAAATGAAGTTAATATCAAAAATAACCCCAAAGCATTTTGGAGTTTTTTAAAATCTAAGAATACCAAATCAAGTATGCCATCTTCAGTCTTCTTTAATGATAAGCAGGCTAATACTCCCGTCGAGGTAGCCAATCTCTTTGCAGAGTTTTTTTCTCTAATTATGGCTGTGATACTGATATGGTTTTTGAAAATTACCCTATTTCAGATTCTGCCCTTAATTTTGGCGCTCTACATGTTTCTGATAGTGACGTGGAAGAAGCCATATTTTATTAAAGCACTCCTTTAAATCGGATTCGGATGGCCTTTCATGTGCTATGCTCAAACGGCCTATATCAAAATCGGCTACTGTTCCAAAAGTTTTTGAGTCGGTTGTGAAACAGAGGCTTAAGTTTGCAGTTAAAAGCTTGATCAGCCCGTATCAGCACGGCTTTGTAAGTGGCAGGCCAACTGTTACTAACCTTGCTACTTTCATGGAGGATTGTGTTGCTGCGTTGCAGACGGGGCTCCAAGTTGACGCAGTATACACAGACTTTGCAAAGGCTTTTGATAGGGTTTCGCACAAGGTTTTAATCAATAAGTTATCGCGTTTCGGTTTCCATTCAACTTTCCTTGAATGGATTCGTTCCTACCTTTTCAACAGGTATTGTACAGTTGCCATCGATAATATACTTTCCAATCATTTTGTTGCCACTTCCCGTGTCCCTCAAGGTAGTATCTTGGGTCCTCTCTTATTTGTCCTATTCATAAACGATGTTGGGTCATGCTTTCTGTCGTCTAAGTATTTATTATATGCTGATGACCTCAAGATTTACTCAGTGATAAAAAACTCACAAGACGCCATATTGTTGCAATCTGAGCTCGATAGCCTACACTCATGGTACTCTCTTAATTGTTTATCAGTGAACGTTAGTAAGTGCTCATATTCTACTTTCACCAGAAAGCTTCTTCCTTTTCAAACCAAGTATAATATTGGCGGTTATGATCTTAGATCTGTCATTGAGGTTAAAGATTTAGGAGTATACTTTGACTCAAAACTAACCTTCTCAACTCATATTAATTTCGTTATTTCCAAAGCTTATGCTATGCTCGCTTTTGTTCAGCGTAATAATCGGTCGTTTAGGTATCCCTATACCCTTAAGCTTCTGTATGTTACTTTGGTGATATCTTGGTAAGAATACGCGTCCTTCATTTGGCGACCCTATCAGTCCGTCTATACAAGGATTGAAAGGATTCAAAATTTTTTTATAAAATTTGCCTTGCGTTCCCTGAGGTTTTTGGAGCCTGTACCCCCGTATGCATCTCGTTGTCAACTCCTTGGCTTAAACTCGTTAAATAGTGGGCGTTCATTCCTCGCTGCCTCTTTTGTGGCTAAAATAGTGGAAGGCACTGTCGATTGCTCTACGCTTTTGGAGAAGTTATCTTTAAATTTTCCGTCTCATAACTTGCGGTGTGCTTCATTATTTTATTTGGGATTTCCGAAATCCCACTATGTGAAATTCACGCCTCTTTTTAGACCCTCTCTGAGCTAAATGAGCTTTCGGAATATGATCCATCGCTCTCGTTTGGAGCAGTACGTTGTGTCCTGCTAAATTACTTTAGGTAGTATTTACGCTCCTTTGCTTTAGTCAGTAAGGATTTGTATTCCATTTGATTGAATAAATAAATAAAAAGTTTCTCTTGTCACGTCATTGGGGGCGACCACAATGCCATTGAGCCTCTGCCATAACTGATAAGTTTTCTTAAAAATTTCATCATTCACCTTGTACTGCTGCTTGTTATTTTTATTAAGGGTGTTTCATTTCGGAGGACCTCATCTCAGTCCGTAGCATCAGGTGAGCCAGCAATCCATTCCAAGCTGACCCAATCCAGTTAATAGATCGTTTTAATCTAGCCGCCTCGTGACCTCTTAGTTCGTTTAAACATGTGCGGATTCTGCCTAGCTGGAATAGTAGTACCTATGTAGATGCTGTTGTTTCGTTTAAGGTTGTTATTGACTACTCGAGCCGATTTGTTGCCAGTTCGTATCGTTCCAAATTTACCACATGAATTAGCTTGAAGTGTCCATCGGTGATCCATCCACGGATTAGATTAATACATTAGTCCACTAATGGTTTATTACCCATACTCACGTTATAATAGTGACTTTGTACAATTCAAAGTCTTGATTCTAAAATTCGTCTTAGCCATATCCTTTTTACATTATTATATTTTTTATTCTACTCAAAGTCTTAATTCTAAATTTCGTCTTAATCGTGTCATTTTTCTCTCAACTATTCTACTCATTTAACTAGTTATCTAACCTAATTTTTTAATTAACCTAAGATCCTTATTCTAGTTTGGAGTTGCATGGGGTGTCATTGAACGATTCCTTAATGCAACACTGTGTCTAACTCTTAAGTATTTTTTGAACCTTGTAATTTTGTCATGTGGCAACTGTGTGAAACACGATTCCTTTTCGAATTGACATTTGTTGATTCAAAGCCGATAGAGACGGAACCGCGGTAAGTGAATTATAAAAAACTGCTGTGACATTAATCTGTATCCTTAATAAATATATGTCATTTCTTCTTACACAGAAATAAACAATATAAATCCACGCAATGCGATGCAATGCATAACAAATGTGTGAGTTTAATTTTTGCAGTCTCTGAAGAATCAACATCTTTATTTCGCGTCCTATATTCATTTTGCATTTCGTGAATTTTCGTGCTCCCATCTTCGACGAAAGTCAGCCATTTTGGGAGTTAATTTCGTATGATGACAGAGCGCACGCCACCAAGTAGAAGTCCTCGTTTACTTATGAATTCAAATAAGTCTGCGACCAGCGATTCTGTCGCCGATAACGCAGCCAGCTTTGATGTAGTGCAGAATAAGGAAGATAGCACCAGCAGCCCAGAGCAAGACGCTAGCCAGCCGCCTCAAATTATGAATACACATGCAGCATACACTGCAAATGCCGCCGCAGTACCTGAGTGCCTGAACAATTCGGAACGAGAGGATAGTATTGTTAAAGCTCTTTAGCAACAGATGCTTGTATTGGAGAATATGCTTTAAAACTTTCAGGTAAAATTTACTGAAAGTGAATTTCAGAAGGAAGCGCTGAAGATAGCACTTCGAAATGCCTCAAATTCCGGAAATACAATAGCAGTTTCTGACTCCTTGTCAGTTGCGTCACCTGCTAGTTCAAGTATAACTTATGCAAGGCCCACTGTGTGTTATACCGCATTTCCTGCTGTTGGTCCATATGCCAACAATGCCGGTGTATTTCATTCAGACACACATATTAGCAAGGTTATTGATTCCCATACCAGCACACTTGCAGGACCATATGCGCACACAGACGCTGCGCCGTGTCCACCAAATCGTATTACGCCTGCCGTCATCAGTGATGGCGCAACCAACACGACTTCTTTTTTGTACGCGACCGCCCAGCCTATTGCCAGCACAATGTGTGAACCGTCCCACCACCACTAGAACTTATTTCAGTGCTGCCGCCACCTCAAGTACGCCTTCATATAATCTTACAGCTGTCGGACACAAAGAAAGCAAAGCCTCTGCTACGTGCGCAGGTGCCACCTCTGCTGCGCATAACGTCGGCGCCAACAATATTACTGCTG